TGGCTAATAGATTATAGTCTTTGTTAGTACAAAGATGAATATGATGAATGCTGCTTTAAAAGTTGCTTCAGAACACTCTTTAAGAGTATGTATTGAATCTGGTAAAAGATATGTTTTTAGAAAAAGTTTTTTGCATTCTTTAATTAGTTTTTGTAATATTAGCATTTTGATATAATTGTTTGTTTTTTGTTAATTAATTTTATCAAACTGAATGCTATATTTTTCAAAAAAGGGTTTAAACCAGGCTTCATAAGTTGTAAGATAAGATTTGAATGATGGAATTCTAAAATCTTTTAAGAATTTTTTAGATGGAATGTTAAGATAAATATTAATGTTGAATCAGTTATCATTTTGAATAGTGAATTTAAGTTGTTTTGAGCTATAATTCAATATCAAAGTGGAGTATGAACTGTAGTGACTTGATGTCAAGTTTTTTCATAAATTCTTCAAAGTTGATAGTTCTATATTTATGATTTAGATAAAGGTATAGATAGGCTAGGTTTATAGCCACTCTACATCTGTTAGTATTTGAGTAAGGTAAAATAGAATAATGTGATCAGAGGATATGTAGGTAGTTCAGTTGATTGAAGAACACCTTTGTAAATTTGAAAAATAAACCTTTAAACATATTATGAAAAGTTTTAAAGAGAATTGGTTTTGATTTATCAAAGTTAGGACTTGACTTGATAGTAACATCTGACAAGAACTTAGGTTTTTTGCTTGCCATTTTGTTAAAAATATATCTAAAGGAATATTTGACAGATAGTTTGTTATTATTTTTATTTTTATTAGATTTGTTTGGAATGATTTGTCCAAAGATAAAGTTTCTAAGATTGGATTTCAAGAAAATAAATAGTTGTAAAGCTAGTAGTGTATTAAGTTTATTATATTGCTACATGATAGGTGTATAAGGTAATTTTTAAACCAGTCAAAATCTTTTAAGATATCACATTTTTGTGTTTTTGCTTTTTGATTATACTATTTGTTATTGGCCTCTTTCTGTTTGTTGTTATTTGAAGATTCTTTTGTATTGGAGTTATTGTCTAATTGTTTGTCTATATTTTTAACTTTTTTGAAAAATTTGCTCAAGAATTTTTTAAAAAAGATGCACTTATTTTTTGTTAATAATTGTAAATATTTGATTTTGCAATAAAGACTATGTTATTCCTAGTTTATAGAACTTGAGAATTTGACTACCTTTAGTTTAAGTTTATGGATATATTAAGGATGAGCTAGAAAACCACCAACTTTAGGTTTAAATTTAAATGCTTTTGGGTCTAATAAGTGTTTATTATCAGTTAGCATAATACAGAATATATCTTTGGTTTTGCAAATAATATATGTATGTGCATGGTAAGAGAAGACAAGAAAGAGGATTTGATTATTTGCATCATGTCTAATATTACTATAATAGTTAGTGAATAAATAAACATATTGTGTTTAGATTGAAAGAATGACTTAGATACATTGTAAAAGGATTTGTAGAATTTGGCATCAAGGTCAATTTCTATTTAATTAGATGATTCAATTGTAGTTATAGAAGTAGTATCAGAGATAGATGACAGAGATAAATGCTGTGAAGTATGTGTGATATTTTTCACAAAAACATTTTGTAATAATAGATTGAATAAGACTGGAGAAGAATAATAGCCATTGTAAATGTCATATAGTATAGAATTAAAATTAGAAGGAAGAACTTTGAAGCTTTTATAATTTTTGTTTAAGATGACTAGTATTTAGTCATTATATTTATTCTGAAGGGTATCTAGGTTAAAGAAATCTGGTTTAATAGTGATAATATTAGATATTTTATGTAACTATCCTAATATAATGTTTGTACTAGTATAAAATGCTCTTCAAATCAGATTGAATAATCAGATTATCAAATAAAATTTTCTAATTTGAGAACTTTACAAATAAGTTAGAAAGGATCTAAAAAATATAAGACCTGTGTCAAGACTAATTGGATATTTAGGAAATTTTAATAAATGTTAGAAAAGTAAAATTTCTGGATCAACCTAGTAAATTTTTTTAAATTTATCAATGAAATAACCTGCAAAAACAGATATTGGTTTTGTCTTTTTTCAAATATCTTAGCGAGTTTTAGTTTGTTCACAGTATAGTATATATCAAAATGACTAGAACAGAGAGTTTTTTCTTTTTCTAATAGGTAACAAGATATATTTAATTAGTAAAATATATAATAAATAAGCAAAAACCAATATTTTAATTTTTGAAAATTTTTTCAGTAGCTAAATATTGCAGAAGCATTAAACTTGATCACTTATGAGAAAAAAAGTAAGCTAAGCAACTTTACTTAAAAGTACAAGTAAGGTTTATTTAATAAAATATTGAGAAATAATTAAATGTTTTTAGCAAGAATTTGGTACAAGTGATCTACAAAGAGAGTTACTGAAATAATAAATGTAATAAATATAAGAAAAGTAATAAATAAGAAAAGTAAGATAAATCTTATTTTTTATATGATTAATTACTTGGATAAGAGGTAGAACCTAATTTAGATAATTGGTAATGTGTGAACATAATAACATATAACCAATTTCAGAACTCACATCAGTAGAGATTAAAAAATAAGTACCTGTACAATGTTGTTTTGTGAAACTAGGAATGGAAGAAATCTACACAGACACCATTTTAGTTATGAGAAACCATATTCTTCATTGCAATCCATTCCAAGTATAAGAAAATGACTTTATAAAAGAAAGTAATAGTACTTGTAATCTGAATATTAGTTTGAATTTTAGAGACTGAGCCTAAAAACCTATTAATGAAATCAATGTCTAACTGCTATATAGTTGGTTAGCTAGCATCACTTAGTTCTGATGAATCTTAACCCAAAATTCTGAGACCCTGCAAAAAAATATTAATAATCTATGAAACATATCTGTATTTAGAAATAGTCAACAAATTCTTTCGATTAAGTCTTTGACAATTAGTGATTATCATTTTATTAGCCTGATAAAAAATTTGATGAAAATTACCAAATATTTAGCATTGAAGCTATTAAATTATATTGGGACACTAATTTTTGTGCCTAAAAAACTTATTTTTACTATTGTCTGTTATAGCATCTTTGATTTTATAAATGTATGTGTTCATTTATGTTTTTTTTTATATTGAATAATGAATAAGTCACACAGACTAATCAATTCCAAGATTTTGTGTACAGAGGCATTTGTTCCTGGTACTTACCTTTTAAAGTATTGTTTAGAGTGCTACAAAAGTCATGATGACAGATTATCCAATCATATGCTAAGAATTGTACATGCATATTTAACTTGCCTGTAAACTCCATTTCTGGTATATCAATATAAATAACAAACAATTCAAAAATTTACACATTCTCATCAGAACATAATTAGCAATGTTCATAAATAATCAGTAGAATACATTCAATTTATTAATAATCATTTTGGTTGAGTTTTTTGAATTACTCATATTCGGCATAGTGTGTACTTGCTCACAACTAGAAATTCGGCATAGCACGCACTTGCTTTATACCAGAAATTCAGCATGAGATATACATATATATTTGGTTAGAACAAAATAATTGATATTCTCAAATGATCAGTATGTACCTTAATATCCATAGATCAAATTACGATTAGCGTTAGTAAATGACATTCCATATATAGTATTTTAACTCAACAAGGGATACGATGAAAATTATAGTCAACAAGTGCCAGTTCAAATCTGGCAGCCCTCAACTGCGACCTAAATGTCAAATATTTAACGATCAGTAATTATCATTTCATCAACCCAATAAATAATACTACGAAAAAAAATGGAAAATCCTCAAAATCTAATGAACATATTCGATAATTCACATCGGGCTACCAGTATTTATGTTAAAAAATCATCCTTTTACCACCATTTATTATAACATCTCTAATTTAATGCTGTTCCGGGTTTTATTTTCATTCATCTTATATACGTACGGTAGACATAAAATACGTTCACGTATATAAACATAGGTGCAATAGTCAAGCCGCTGGTATAAGGTGTGAAATGTCATGCGAAAAATAGGTAACGCATAACAATACGTGATGAATAGAGTCACGCGGACCAATCAAGTGCCGAGAATCGCACAGACATATTAACTTGCCTGTAAACCATACACTACGTTGTACGTTGTACAAACTCCATTCCTGATATAACAAGTGCCAATTAGAGATGGGTAAGGTAATTGCTTATTACGTAAAAAGTAAATCTCGATTTAGCATGTTATTAACATCAAGTTGCTAAATGACTTTGCTAAATTTATAGCGTATTAGCTTTTTTAAAGATATGTTAAGTTGAATAAAATACTTTTATCGGAAAACTGTTTGTTTTTTCTTATTCGTTACACAGTCTTTTTAGAAGATTCAGCAAAAACCTTGTTAATGTTTTAGCCAAGACCATGGATTTAAACTTTAAAATAAATTTGTCGATTTGTGATATCTACGAAAATCATGAAAAATTGTATGACAAACATGATAAGCTGTCCTATTCAACTATTAGATTAAGAATTAGGTATTTACTATCTATTTTCGTATTAGTAAAAAAACCGCAATAAGATACAAATTTCGTAAGGAAACCTTTTTGTTAATGCATAGAATGCAGTTTCATAAGTGAAATTTTGAATTTCTACCGATTATTTCGATATTTGCGTTAAAATAATCTTAAAAATTGATTGACACGTACACTGGACAGTTATAGATTTTACTATATTTGTAGTTCTGAGTTGTGGCTAATAAGAGATAATAAGAAGATGTCAAAAAGATAGGTACCGGGGTTTGGGTTAAGTTTATGTAATTTGTTGACTTTGATGGAGTTATATTTGTAATTTGTTGACTTTGACGGAGTTAAGTCCGCTTCTAAAAAGAAATTTAATCATTTATTAATAATTAAAAACCTTTATATTGACTAATTCCTTGCTCTAAAATTACATAAAGTTTTTTTTTAAAACTTTCATCACCAATTCATAATTTATTTACAACATGAAACACGTCTTAATTCCTCTTTTTATTCATGGAAGTGACTCTTGTTCATTTGATTGTCAACCTGGTCATTCATTCAGAGCGGACTGGTGTCTTGACCTTCACGGTTTTTTATCCCGCGATGAATTCACCGCTAGACTTAACCAGATCAATGATCATGTCAAAAGCGTTGAACTAATGTCTCACAAAACAAAATATTTATTATATTTTGGCGCTTCTTTTATTACTACTTTTTTATCAGTTCTCATCAGTATAATTATGAAATCAGCAGCTGGGATCCTTATAGCTTTCGTAATATCTGGAATTTTATACTTTGTCGCCAAATATATGATCGAAAAAAATGCAGCAGAACGCGCAATAAGATTTACAAATCTATTAAACGAACTGTTCACACAATATAATCAACATGAAAATCCAACCGTTAATTGGAAATTCTGGTGGGTTACATCCTATGAAAGATACGTTTCTGGGTTTGATGGAAGAGCTTTTGGAAATGGTCATGTAAACAAATTAGAATTTAGTTGTGGTCTTAGTCTTATATTCGCGGCACTATTTGCTGAAAATGCATTAATAATTCTTGAAATCAATGATGCCCTTTCTGATCTTACCAAAAACACCATTGGTGTGAACCTTACACCTGTTACTAACTACTCTCATCCGATGGTCAGTAATTATCCTGCTACTAATACTCCTGTCAGTCCGATGGCCAGTAATTATCCTATTGACCCTATTAATAGTGCTCCTGTTAACCCCACACATGCAATTGACATGAAATATGGTTAAGCAAAATAATATTCTTTATTTTATCTTTCAATGTCTATAATGTCTATTAACTTTTCTTCGGATAAATAAGTATAAAATTTTAGTCTAATTAACATTTATTGAATTACTATTTTTATTATTTTTATGATTTGTGAACCGATTAGCCTATTTTGCAATAACTTACTATTCTATATATATAGTAATAGGCAGTGTTAATTTTCAGTTAAAATTTACTGTGCGGATGCCACACAATTTGGAACCTTTTCTGTGCGGCAAATAAAGAAAGTCTACAAGCAACTGTTTGCAACTGTGCACATTATTTATAAAATGTTAATTTTTTCTGTGCGGTATCTGCACATCTGTTCAAAAGAAGGTGTGCGTAAAATTTTGAATTTTGATTCTGTGTGCTGCGCACAGTCCGCACAGTGAAAAATAATCATTAGTAATAGGCATTATTATATTATCGCATAAGATAATAAATAATTTCCACGCAAAAATTCTTTTCATCATCAGATTTGCGGAATTGATCACGAATTAATCATAAATTGTATATTCTTATTGGTTAAATATTTGGTGAAATTTGAAAATTTTATCAGATTATCACGGGATCTGACTAGAGATGGCTTTCATGCGCATTTTATCCCATCAAGATTTCTCACCTCTCGATCGGTTTTTCTTTTTTTCCTTTTTTTTTATCACGCGATATCATACATGTTATTATCCCTAGCGGGCAAATTTTCTCGCTAAAATTTTTTTTGACCAATTTTTGTACAATTGCCTCAAATTTTATTAAGACGCACCCCATATTCCCTAAGCTAAAATAAAAGTACATTACATGTTAGATGTCATGTAATCTTACCTCGAGAAATTTCCTTAGCACTACTCTCAAAACTGGTTGACTGTACTATAGTCTTTACGATCAAATTTAATAGTAAAAAAGGTACCTTCACGTGACAATCATGAAAGATTTTCACGATCGGCATGTGGAGGTACCTTTCATAATATGATATTAAAGTTGGTCGAAGATTCTTCACGACCAACTACACAGAACTGATTTTTGGGCCAATATGAGGAAGATAATATGACTCAAAAGTTCAGGTAAAATGACACACTGTACAGCCATGCCTTTTGTTTGAATCATTTTTGAGTATGCCACACTGCGGCTATCGAGTGTAACGTGTGATTCAAGCTTTTGGGAGCCGGCTGTAATAAATATCTTCATAAAAAAATAAAAAATTTTTTTTATATTCTACTTTATCCAATTATTTTAGCGGGAAAATTTGCCCGCTAAACCGGACGGTTTAAAGGATAATATGCGTTTTCCCCATCACTAAACCTGACTAATTAGAAGTGGTTTTTTGTGTAATCTGATAAAAACATATAGCGTTCTGAGAAAATTTGGTTATAAGAAAAGTAAGTTTTTTTTTAAAAAAAAAAACAATATAACGAGTCTGGTAGATAATAAAAAGTCTCGAAGTATGATTTTTTCTTGGCATCACAGAAAAAAAAACGGAAGATAACAAAGATAAGCTAAATGTGGATTATCATACAATTTATTATGAATAAACAAATTGTAAACATAGTAAAGTTATAAACATTTAAATACAAAGTTTCTAATAATGATCTTATCATTATTGAAATTTGAAATTGTTTCATGATGCTTATTGATGAAAATTGGAATTGTTTCAGTAATGCTTTGTTTATGATAATTACAATACCTTCTCTAGTAATTATACTGAAAATTTTCCCGATATACTTTTAATATAACGGGTATTAATCAACAATTCAGGATATTTTGTGACATCAGGTATATAAATTGAGAGAAATCTAAACAAAAATCTGTTGTCAAGAAAACAAAATTGTCAATGAAACAGTAGTACCAGGGAAGTGATACTGTCGAGAAGTTAAAATCGTTTATTGAGAATTAGGTAATATTAATGCCAAGCCAATAGTTTATCTTAACCAATCAGATCATTAAAAACGGTCCAACTTTATAATTTAATGGAAATAGATCTTTCTACTATAAATTACCATATTTATATATGTAGATCGTCTATCAGGAGTTGCAACTTTATAGCATCTGACTAAAATTACATGCATGTAGATCTAATTTCAGGGGCTTAAAATGTTACTTATTCAACAACTTTAGGTAAATCGCCGCTTCTACACTTTAAATGCGATACATCAATATCGGAATACTGTATGCATACAAAAAAAAATAGGGATTCACTCACATTTTTATTAATTTTAGTGCATTAATCAATGCGATCATTAATTAATTGTAATACGATGACAATAATAGCTATAATTCCGTACTCAAACACCAATAATTTACATATAATTAAAAACAATAATTTCCATATATGTATTAAAAGAGTAAATACAATTGATAGATCACCAAAATTCATTTAACTTGTAAAAAGTACCAAGTATAGATAATTCATAACGCTTCTTAAGTGCAATTGTAGAAATTGGACAATTAACTAAAAGATTTGAATAAACTGGTGTAATATTAGATACTTGATCTAGAGATGTTATTTTCTTCACTGGTATATTAATGACAGTGATATTAAAAACAGCCCACATAGCACTATAATCTTTAAACCCCGGAATTGTGCTAGGTAAGGTGGATAATATATTGTAATTTTTATCAATCACATGATAAATGGGTACAGTTTTATTACCAGCTGGATTTATACCAAAGTCAAAATAACGAACGGGTCCACCATTGTAATAGCCAAGTTTTGCTGGTGCATCTTCAGGATATGTTAATTCGGATGAAAATCCAACTTTTAAACCAAATTAATTAATTAATTGAAAACTTCTTATATCATGAATACAGTACTAATGTTACATTAACTTACCAATAGGATTATTGAGATAGATATCTGTAAAGTAAATTTCTACTTTTTCTTCAAGTCTTTTCAAGTCTTCATAAGATGTAATATAAGGATCATTTTCCTTACGACCAATGACTATAACTGCTTGTTTTAAATCAGAGTATCCTACGTCACCAGGAATAAACTCAATAATATTTGGTTGCAGAACATTAGAAATATCATCTTGAAGGTCTTTAAGAAAGATGTAAATAGGGTTATAAGGAAAGATCCTGGGTGCAAATGGTCTATTAGTATGAATTTCTTCAAAAGAATATATTTCGACTGGGTAATTGTAAAAATATCCGACTCCTAAGTCATAAGTTATGTTTACTAGGTCATAAGGATTGCCTGCGATCACACGATCACTTAAAGTAAACGTAACAAATATAAAAAAGATAATTGTTTTAAAATTCATTTGATTCATTTAATCGTTTAAAATTAACACATCATTATAAAGATTAATCAATCATTTAAATATTTCATGAAATTTTCATTCTTGTAATAAAATAGGTAAAAAAGTCGGTTCTATGGTTAAAGCCAAAATGGTAATATACTCATATACACATGTATTTAGGTTAAATTTCTTGACTTTCTGTTACAAGGTGCATTGATTGTTGATGTGCAACGGATGACAGAGTTTAATTTAAACATCTTTACATTAAGTTTTCGTATATCGTATATTATCAATCTTCACAACTTTGGAATCAAAATCTAGCAAAAACGTGTGGCTTGAAATAATCATGGGATCACATTGGATTAAGTTAGGCACTTGTTGACAGTTTTTATGTGGGAAGTACAATCAGACCTCAATATAGTCCCTCCTGATGTGATCACCAATTATATAAAAAAAATTCCTTTTTCATTTTATCAATCATTATAAAGCATAGGTATTTAGGATGTCTAACGTTAATTAAGTTCAATATTTTAAATTAAAGAAGAAAGAAATAAACACATATGATATTAAGCCTTTGATTGGATCTTCTTGGACAGTTATAGTCACATAATTGTAAAAAAAAGTGGTAGCTAGAAATTATTTAACTTCGAGTAGCTTATTAATATAAAATGTTATTGTAAATGTCTGTACATTTTAAACTTTTAATAAACTCTGAGTATAGTACAATCAACCCCACAGTAGTCACATAATGAAATCAGACATTATATATGTATGTTGCAAGATTATGAAATAAACAAGAACTTATATATAGTGAGTATAATTAAATAAAACAATCAAGCATCTATAGCAAGATTTCAACAAATTTCATGTGACTATTACACTTTCTGTCAGATTTGAATTTTCATATCTGCTAATGAATTAGTAATTATGATGCTAGTATCTTTGATAAATAAAATTGACAGAATTGGACAATCTGAAGAACAAATTTGATCTAATTAATATGAAATTAGTACTTATCTAAACTACAAAACTATCATTTACTAATTTAACTGTTCCAATTATCATTATTCAATAAGAATTATATTAAGTAAATAAGTTAATATTGAATATAATCAGATTTCAATATAATTACTCTCGATATAGTCACTAATTGTAAAAAAAAATGCACTATCAATTCAGTCACATTGAATCTTGGTTACCAAACCGGTGACGATATTGCATCTACTTAATCAATATTTAAAAGTATTTATATTTAAGAAGTGGATAAATAAATGAAGTCAGAAACAAAATTTGGGATACATTATTAAAGTTTGATACATTGAAATGCATGTACTAATACAGCATTTAGCACGTAATTCAATAAATGCACGGAAATTAATTATCGAAAAAAATAAAAATTTAGATACATAATCACACGCGATTGTAAGGGAAAGTATGTGGTTGTACATAGCAAAACCATGCTAAGAGTATATATAATAAATATATGTTCTAAACATGGATTTACTGCGGTTACCCGTTTGGAAAGTATGCAAAAGATACATTACTACATGTAAAAGATCGGGATACAAATTTGATCGAGATACAAATTTGATCGGGATACGAATTCGATTGCATTTTATCCGTTTCTATTATATATGGATATGTATAATTAAATACTACGCAAAATACGGTATTTTTATATCAAATTATGAAAATCAATTCTCAAGACGAAACATCAAACTGGGTTAATTAGTTTCCTGGTTTGGACAAAACTATCATGGATTTAGTTACGCCATTATTCATAACTCAGTCTAACTTATAAGTGAAAAATAAATAAATAAATAAATAATAATTTTGGTTATTTTAGTAATTAATTAAATTTACTTAAACTAATTAAGTATACTGTAGAACTAAAATAAATACATTCTTTATTATTGCTTGCTAATGTCAAATGAAATGTAAAACATGAATTTTATGACGTTAAAATATACTATATACTATACTCAAATTGATTTCGTTAATAATTCTTATTATAATATACTAAATTATACTAAACCAGTTTCGAATCATGATAATATAAATAGTAAATGAATAAATAGTTAATTAAACCAAACTTTTGGATGTATATATCCTAAAAAAAGGTCCAAATATAAATTGAATAAAATAAATTATTATTTACTCTAATTATATTTCACATCATAGCCTGTGTGCTATTAATTGGGACATTTTGAACAGGAATATTATTATTAACAATCATCATTTCATTAGAATAGTTGGCATTATTAGAATTGTTGACACTATTGGCGTAGTTATTACTGGTGTAGTTATTATTAACGTAGTTATTATTAGCATTAAGATTCACACCAACAGTGTTTTTGGTAAGATCAGAGAGGGCATCATTGATTTCAAGAATTATTAATGCGTTGTCAGCAAATAGCGCCGCAAATTTAATACTAATACCATAACGCATTTTTAACTTATTTATATGACCATTTCCATAAGCTCTTCCATCCAACCCAGTAACGTAACTTTCATAGGAATGAACCCACCAGAATTTCCAATTAACAGTTGGGGTTTCATGTTTGTTATATTGTGCAAAAAGTTCGTTTAAGAGATTAGTAAATGCTATTGCACGTTCAGCAGCATTTTTTTCGATCATATATTTGGCGATAAAGAATAAAATTCCGGATATACTAAAGCCTATAGGTAAACCAGTTGCTGATTGCATAATTACACTGAAAATAACTGATAATAAGACAGAACCGATAGAAGCGATATAATATAATAAGTTTTTTGTTTTGTAGGTCATTAGTTCAACGCTTTGAACATGATTATTAATCTGGTTAAGTCTAGCGGCAAACTCTTCGCGGGATAAATAACCGTGAAGGTCAAGGCACCAGTCCGCTCTGAACGAATGACCAGGTTGACAATCAATACAAGTGTCGGCTCCGTGTATGAAGAGAGGGATTAGTACTTGTTTCATAGTATATGATAAATTATTTAATTTGGAGATGAAAGTTTAAGATAAAACTTCACGTAATTTGGAGTACGGAATCAAACAATTTAAAGGTTTTTAATTATTAATTACTAGTCAAATATTAGAGGTAACGTTCCTAGTCATATATAAAGTATCACCAAAATAATATTTATGTTTTACAGTTTATTTTAGTATTCAATAAACTCGAACAACATAAAAAAAAAAACCCCCCAATCAGTCCAGATATGTATTAAGGATATTTTATGTTTCAAATAACGGGATGAAACGCATAATTGTTTTAAAATTTATTTGATTCATTTAATAATTTAAAATTAACATAACATTGTAAAGATTAATCAATCATTAAATAGTTAGTGAAATTTTCGTTCTTGTAATACAGTAAAATAGGTAAAAAAGTCGGTTCTGTAGTTGAAGCCAAAATGATAATATACGCACATACACTTGACTTTCTGTTACAAGGGTGCATTGATTATTGATGTGCAACGGATTACAGGGTTTAATTTAAACATATTAACATTAAGTTTTTGTGTATTATCAATCTTCACAACTTTGGAATCGAAATCTAGCAAAAACGTGTTGCTTGAAAATAATCATGGGACCACATTGAATTAAGTTATGCACTTGTTGACAATTTTTTATGTGAGAAGTACAATCAGACCTCAATAAAGCCCCTCCTGATATGATCACCAATTATATAAAAAATTCCCATTTAATTTTATCAATCATTATAAAGCATAGCAAATTAGAATCTTTATTGTACTATAAATTTAGTAAAGAGAATAAACAAATGACCTAACTAAAATGTGCGAAGACTAGTATTGTTTGTTGCAAATATAAAATGCAACTTTTTTATAGTGCAACTAGTGTCACCATCGAATGGGAGAGCTTCCGACAATCATTCCGAGTTTAACTCCGATGGTTGTAAGAGAGATGCAGTGCATGATGACAAATTAAGGGGATTTTATGTGATTAGTAAGCATTTATTATATAAAATAATGTAGGTTTATGTATTCTTTATTTAGGGATGATTTCAGAGAGCATTCTTCCCTCCTGAGCTAAGGGCCAAAGCAACCCCTTAAATACATTCTCATTTATTATGAGGTCTATGCTAAGAATATAGCATCCATGATATAACTCTGAATCCCACATGCTTTCCTACGGGCAACTCATTCTATCAAGTGTATGCGAGAGCATATACGCTCCAAATATCGTGTATATACACGGCTAGGGCAATTCACATGGGTTAAGCCTAGAAATGAGTTTCATGCGTGCGCATGCTTGCGGAATCATGTATGATTCTGTTTCATGTGCATTTTATCACATCAAGATTTCTCTCCTCTCGATCGGTTTTTCTTTTTTTTCCTTTTTTTTTATCATGCGATATCATGCGCATAAATGCGCATTATCCTATTTCATCTGCATTTTATCACACCTTCCGTTCTTTTTTTCTTTTTTTGCCTTTAATATGCGCATTTTTTCCATCACAATATTATGAAGGTAAGATTAACATGGCTATGACAATACATTTAAGGAAGTTATGTGACAACTTAATGAATTAGACAAATACGGAAGTGAGAGACAGAAAAATTATTTGTTACACTAGGGTTGCAACTAGTGATGTGCCACGTATTGTACTATACGTACTGTACGTACTGTACACTTAATTATTATTGCTCGATCATTCACACAACTTTATTATGCACATATCATAAGCTGTACATTGGAAATACACATGTGGGAATATGGTTTGCTCCACCATAGCACGGTACTACATTTAGCATGCTTTCCCAAACAATCATCCCTTCAATAATCACTAACCGTGTTATTAATCATGCTCATTTGTCAACATATTATAGCGAATAAAGAGTATCATTAGTCGTACGCACCTTATATTAAATGCTTACTTACAAGACTATATTACTCACCGCTTCCCCATTTCTTTCTCTTTTTCACTTTTCTCTCTTTTCCTTTTTTTTTTTTTTTTTTTTTTTTTTTTTTTTATATGTATTCGCATATAACGCCAACACAAACTACCAATTTGCTATGGGTCTGTTTATCAAGTGGTCATTGAGCTGTTAAAAACAGTCTTTGAGCCACGATTCATTTAATTACAAACAGCCAATGGCCACAGAGCTGCTACTACAGTCCGTGCGCCACAGCTTACTACAATGGTCACAGAGCTATATTTTAGTCCATGAGCCACAATTACTACAATGGTCACAGAGCTGTCACTGATGTCTGTGAGTCATAATTTATTATTATTATTTTTTTATTTTTATTTTTATTTTTATTTTTTTCCTTTCCTTTACAGGGCTGGCTTGTCCAATTTGAGCTTTGGCTCCATGCAAATATTCTCGGGTGGCGGGGGTGGGACTATAAAGCTAGCCTATCAATAAGGCGAGCAATAGCGAAACCAAAGAGTAAGAACAAATACTAACAAACAATCTCTATTTAAATCCATATTTTCCCTTTACGGGAATTTTCACACAAAACAATCTCTCAAAGAATTCCATTACATCATAGGACTTTACATGTCCTTCCCGATATATACTTGGTCATGCGTTGTCACGTGATCTCGCAATAATGCTGGCCTTGTCACTTCGTTGACAAGCCAGTCAATTTTGACTGTCATTTTATAAGTTCTGAAGGTTAGGCCATAACATTCATAAGTTCCTAAATATTCCGAAACCATGGTATAAAAAAATCCTACTATACGTACTGTACGTACTGTACGCTAAAAAAATCCGAGTATCATATAAATGGCACATCACTAGTTGCAACATATTGTTGCAATAGAATGTGACATCAGTAATTTAGTATATATGACTTATCTTGTAATAATTACAACATAAATAAGCTGTAAAGATTAAGTTGCAACTCTGCAGCAGGCAAGATTAGCGAAGACTTTAGCTAAAACTAGTTTCCAATAAGGAACTGAAATGATATTATAGTTATGATAAATAAAATGTTATATACTAATTTCTTATGTTTAGTCTTTACGTATTAGACCTATTCCCATATGTATTTCCTACACACATAACTTGATGAAGCTTTGATCGAGCAATAATAATTTAGGATATCTAAAGTTAATCAAGGTAAGTATTTTAAATTTAGTCAAGAGAAAGAAATAAACTTAAGCAAATCATGTGATATTAAGCCTCTGAACAGTTATAGTCACATAATTGGTTTGTGATATGATTGACTTGTTTAATTTGTAAAAAAAGTGGTAACTATCAATTATTTAACTTCAAGTAACCTTACTTATATAAAATGCTATTGTAAATGGCTGTATACAAGACCGGTGTCTGTTACATTTTAAACTTTTAACAAACTCTGAATATAATACAATCAACTCCCCCAATAACCACATAATAAGATCAATCATTATATGTGTATATTGCGAGATTATGAAATATCAAGGATTCATATATAGTAAGTATAATAATTAAATAAAAAAATCAATAACTATAACAAGATTTTAACAAATTCTCGTGTGACTATTACACTTTTTGTCAGATTTGAATTTGCTGTCACACTGTTCATACGTATCTGCTAATGAATTAGTAATCATGATGCTAGTATCTCTGATAAATAAAATTGACAGAATTGGACAATCCGAAGAAACAAATTTGATGAAATTAGTACTTATCTAAACTACAAAACTATCATGAGCTAATTTCACTATCCCAGCTATTACTATTCAATAAGAATTATATTAAGTAAATAAGTTAATTTTGAATATAATTAGATCTCAATATAATCGCTCTTGATATAGTTACTAATTATAAAAAAAGGGCATTATCAATTTGTCACATTGAATCTTGGTTATCAAACCAGTGACGATATTGCATCTAACATTTAATTTTATTCAGATTCTGAGTATTATGTATTCAAAATTTATAAGTATTTGTATTTAACATTAAAAGGTTTGATACATCGAAATGCATGTACTAATATTGCAGTTAGCATATAATTCAATAATACACGGAAATAAATTATCGAAAAAATAATAATTTATATACATAATCACACACGATTGTAAGGGAAAGTATGTGGTAGTACATAGCAAAACCATGCTAAGAGTATATATAATAAATATATGTATTCTAAGGATACGTATCATTTCATCGACAATTGCTTCGCCGAACACCCCATCGCACAGAGCGATGGTTAAGATTTAACGATTGTTTGATGATTAATAATTATTGTTCAATATTACTCATTACGCTGTGTGATAGGGTGTTCGGTGAAGTGATCGTCAATGAAATGATATGTATCCGTATTCTAAGCATGGTTTACTGGAAAGATACATTACTGTATGTAAAAGATCGGGATACGAATTCGATTGCATTTTATCCGCTTCTATTATATATGAATATGCATAATTAAATACTACGCAAAATACGGTATTTTTATATATCAAATCAATTCGCAAGACGAAATATCAAACTGGGTTAATTAGTTTCCTAGTTTGGACGAAACTATCAGGGTTTAGTTACGCCATTATTCATAACTCAGTCTAACTTACAAGTGAAAAATAAATAAATAAAAGTTAATTTTAGTTATAGTAAAACCTCTATAAGTGCGCCTTCTATAAGTTCACATCCTTTTAAATACATGCTTAAATTTGGGCACAAATATATACATGACCTTTATAAATGCACTTTTCTTATTATTCTCTAAATGCACATCATTAAAGTTTAGTCCTGAGGACATGTACTTATGGAGGTTTTACTGTATTAAGTAATTAATTAAATTAATTAAGTATACTGTAGAACTAGAATAAATAAATTCTTTATTATTGCTCTAATGTAAAATGAAATGCAAAACATGAATTTTATGACGTTAAAATATACTGTATACTATACTCAAATCGATTTCGTTAATAATTCTTATTATAATATATTACTAAAGTATACTAAATCAGTTTCGAATCATGATAATATAAATAGTAAATTAATAAATTTTAATTAAATAAATTTTTGGATGTATAACTAGCTATTTATCCTAAAAAAGGTCCAAATATAAATTGAATAAAATAAATTATTATTTACTCTAGTTATATTTCATATCAATAGCCTGTGCTGTTAATAGGGACATTTTGAACAGGGATATTATTACTAATAATCATCATCTCATTGTCATTATTAGAATTGGTGGCGTAGTTACTATTGGCGTAGACATTATTGGGGTAGTCATTATTTGCGTAGTTATTATTAGCGTAGTTATTATTAGTGTAGTTATTATTAACGTAGTTATTATTAGCATTAAGATTCACACCAACAGTTTTTTTGGTAAGACTGGAGAGGGCATCATTGATTTCAAGAATTATTAATGCGTTTTCAGCAAATAGCAACGCGAATTTAACACTAAGACAATGACCCATTTTTAACTTGTTTACATGACCATTTCCATAAGCTCTTCCATCCAACCCAGTAACGTATATTTCATAGGAATGAACCCACCAGAATTTCCAATTAACAGTTGGGGTTTCATGTTTGTTATATTGTGCAAAAAGTTCGTTTAGGAGATTAGTAAATGTTATTGCACGGTCAGCAGCATTTTTTTCGATCATATATTTGGCAATAAAGAATAAAATTCCGGTTATACTAATGCCTAAAGATACACCAGCTATTGCATTTATAATTGCAGAGAAAATAGCTGATAATAATGAAGCACAGATGGAAGCGACACAATATAATAAGTTTTTTGTTTTGTAGGTCATTAGTTCAACGCTTTTAACATGATTATTGATCTCGTTAAGTCTAGCGGCAAACTCTTCACGGGATAAATAACCGTGAAGGTCAAGGCACCAGTCCGCTCTGAACGATTGACCAGGTTGACAATTAAAGCAAGTTTCATAACAAGTGTCAGTTCCGTGTAAGAAGAGAGGGATTAGTACTTTTTTCATAATGTATGATAAATTATTTAAATTGGAGATGAAAGTTTTAAAATAAAACTTTACGTAATTTAGAGTACGGAATCAAAAAATTTAAAGGTTTTAATTACTAATTACTAGAGGTAGCGTTGCTAGTCATATATAAAGTATGAAAATAAACTTTGTAATACTTGAACGGCATAAAAAAAAAAAAAATCAATCTAGATAAAATAACGCGATGAAACCATAAAAGGTTTCTAGTATTTTTATTAAAAAACAATGTAATCATCATATATAATATCACAGCAATGGTTTATGGTTCTGATGAAAAAGAAGTATATGTCTTGCCTGATATTGATATCATCTGAACTTGTAATTTCATGTGTCTGAAGTTACACTTGCCTAAATCGCCCATTAATGCATGCAAAAATGTGTTAATTTCGGCCAGCGATGTTACCCAAACTGCTTGGGACGTCCCAAATTATGTGATAATAATATCGCATGAGGTATTTACCTCCTTATTGTTTTGGCTGAAATAGTGTGATGAATAATATCGCGTGAGGTATCTCCTTATTGTTATTGCTGAAATCGTGTGATACTAGTTTGGGACGTCCCAAATAGTTTGGGTAACATCGCTAATTTCAGCCAAGTACAACTTCAGGAAGGACATATATATGCAGTCGGACACATTACCAAAAATGGGGTACGTCTAAAGCCATGTCGGTCATATGTTTTTAATTTTTAATTAAAGTTAGGGATTAGTGTTGGGTTAGTCTTATAGTAAAATTGTCTCCCGGTCATTTTTGATTAATGACCCAAGGTAGGTTTAGACACTCATTTCTTGCATTTTTGACGGTTTTCACTTTTCTGCGTCGGGCTGGTCCGTGTCGATCACAACAAACAATTTTATTGGCTATATGACACGTGACTACTTACGGCTTTAGGAAGGGGATTACTACAGACACAGCTTATCAACACAGCAAATGACCAGCATTAACCTTAACTATAATGTAGGCAATGCTGTGTCGTTAAGGTTAGTGCTGGGTTGATAAGCTGTGTCTGTAGTAGTGATACAAATTGCCAAAAAATTTTCAATCGATTAGTTGACAAATTCAAAAATTTTCAATCGATTAGTTGTCAACTAAACGATTTATCGATTTTGATCGATTATTTTATTATGAGTTTACTAAATTTTCCAATTGATTAAATCTTTTTTTCAAAATTTTCCAATCGATTTGTCGATTAGTTGACAACTAATTCGATTTGTATCACTAGTCTGTAGCAGGAAAAATTTGCAGTCACGTGAAATTTTTGTGGCGTAAACAAATCAGATTTAAGATCTACACAATCAGGAAAATTCAAAAAAAACGTTCGCTTTATCAAAAATCGTTTATTTCTCAAAACACAGCACAAGAAACCACCTATAGTGCTCTAACAAAAAGTTTCCTTGTCCGATTTTACTATTAAACCTTCTCTAACTAGTGACGGGAAATGCGCATGAAATTATAGAATCATGTGCATATACTTATAATGCCGGTAAAGCAATATAATGCTGGTAGATTATCTAATTACTATGCACGGATTTATTAAAAATGGTAGATTGGTGTGAAATTCTATATTTATTAACTTATTTATTGATGCTTACATTTATGAATAAAACTTTATTTATCACATGATGCGCATGAAATGCGAAAAAAATGGAATTTGTACAGTACATTACTACCTCTAACCCTAACATTAGCATTTTCGGTCCTTTGTTTCGGCTACACGAATTGTAAATTTTGAGTAGAAAAGAATAGTAAAACTTACAAATTTTTTGAGCCTTTATACACATTGAAATAAGGATTGATCCCGATGGGATCATTGTTGATTATGAAACCTTGAACGTTCAACTTAATATCTAAAATTATTTGTCATCGTTAACTATTGTGAAAAGCCACAAAATGTAACTGAATTTAGCGAAAAGTAGCCAATGTACCCACATGATTTTGGCAGTTTAATTGGTTTAATTAAAATTAAGGTTGGTACAAATGAGAGTAACAACTAGAAAATTTTATTAAGTAGGATATTGCCTAATCGATAATATATTTTAATGTAGTGGCGTCTCTACTCGATTATGTGATTTGTTCGATTAAGGCCGCTCGCAGTTGAATTTTCAGTTAACATCACTTTGAGGGGGGGATAAAATTAAACGAACATATAGAATGAAAAAAATGAGACAATTTAATTGGTCGATGTAAATTAAGAGATTGGTGAGAGCTATCCAGCGGCTTGATTGGTTGTTCATTTCTCGGGGGGGTGATGTTAACCGAATAATCAACTTCGAACGGCCTAAGTTATGTAAAAAATTAACCGATCATGCGAAAATCTTCTTATGAACCTCTGATTTACTTATTTCCGAGGTAACACACTCCAAAAAGGAAGTTGAGTATGAAAATGAACAAAGTACGTGAAGATAAAAATTTGAGGTTAAGTGTTAATTTAGGGGATATAAATAAAGTGTTGCTACTGAATACGTAATATTTTGTTCCCGACATGTTTAATTAGCATATCAAGGTCGATTTAAACATTAGTTTTCAACTTTTTTCTCTTTTTTTTGCTTTTTTTCGCACGTGTTCGGATTCTATATCGAATGATCAAAAGTAAACACATTGATGGGCTGTTCCCTTTTTTAGCAGTTTGTATTACCAACTAAAAGTTTATTAGATCAACACGCCATCTCTTTTTAATTATGATTAGCAAGATCACTATTTTTTGATGTTTGAGTTACGTAACCTTTAATAAGTGATGTACAGATTGTTTCCTCGTGTATCTCCAAATTAGTATAAAATGTTAACATATACCAGTTAGTCGGAATAACTTTTAACATATACCATGTTAGTCGGAATAACTTTTAACTTATACCATGTTAGTCGGAATAACTTTTTAGTATTTATTCAGTGTACAAAATTTTGTAGCATTTTTCAATCGGAGTTTCGAATATAGAGGCCAATGAAAACCATGGTTTAATCAATTGTGTGATGGGATTATTGACAAACTACATCAAAAATTATCAAATTACATAATTACTAATCTCTATATATTTAAAAAACAAACATCCATTCCACTTTCCAATCAGATAATAAAAACATGGTTAAACAAATAGGCATGAGTTTAAACATATCACCTAATCATAAATTGATTTTGCCATTTAAGTGGCTGTTCGGTGTAAATTCTAAATATCTAGATATGTGATTCCGAATAAAAGACCTATTATTCGTTCTTTTAAGAAAATATATCAATATTAAATAATACAACAATAAAGCTACTCTAAAGATAGAAATGTTATACTAAAGCAGGAATGAATAGATATAGATATAGACGTATGAATGGAAATAAGGACATTGATAATCGCATAAATAATAGAGAATGAAAACAGCCAGATATTAACTATTAATAAATGAAATTTCATTATTTTATTAATTTCTCCATTTCATCATTTTTTCATTTCACCAATTCACCGTTTCACCAATTCCACCAATTCCATTATTTACCAAATTTTTATTTTTGTGTAATTTTGGTGAACTTATTTCAACATTTCACCTAGTAAAATAGTTTATTTCATCAGCATCTATACACAAGACTTAATAAGACTAATCATAACTAGTGATGTGCCATTTATATGATACCTGAAAAATTTTAGCGTACAGTACGTACAGTACGTACTGTACGTAGAGATGGGACACTGCGCAGGCATTTTTTGAGGCTGCGCAGTGCAATTTTCATAATTCTGGCCAGCTGGCATAATTCTGGCCAGCTTTATAATCCAGGTTTGAATTACCAATCGGATAAAAACGGATCTGCATCACCTGATTAATAGAATCCATCGTTCATAATTCTGGTCAAACTTGCAGATCATTTGACCACATTTAAAGTTGTTTTGTTCTAGATCTGGCCAAATGATCTGCAAATTTGACCAGAATTATCAATTCATCGATATGCAGAGAAAAAGTGAAAAAAACGCAAAACAACAAAAACTGACGTTTAAACTAACCTTGGAGCATTAATTAAAAATGATGGGAGCCCAAATTTACACATATGAAGTTAATGTTTTATATATATAAACGCGAAACCTAATGAGTAAAAGTTTCTAGGCGCAGTAGTTTCAAAAAAACCTCGATTTTCTAACTGTACGTATAGTTCTTTTCCTGCATCTGATTGGCTGTAAAAAGTGATCGGCAAAAAATTTAGCGTACAGTACGTACAGTACTGTACGTATAGTACTGTACGTATAGTACTGTACGTGGCACATCACTAATCATAACCATTTATTTAAAAAATCGAATTCAATCATTCAATGTTATCATAGTATTACGCATCAGATTCAATTTTCAATTTCATCGATTGAAAATAAGTCAATTCAATTTTTAATTGGATATTGTGAGGTCCAAAAACGTGACCGCTATCACGTGGCGTGGATCCCGAATGTCAGAAATGTCAGATATGTCAGATATATTTGATATATCTGATATATCTGATATGTCGCCTATAGCGCATAAGTGTGGTATCTTAAATAAATGCAATATATTAAACATGTTCGATATGTTAGATAAATTCATGCTGTAAATAGACAAGACAATTTATTATAAAAAAAGGTAGCTGCGCAGCACGAGGTGCTGCGCAGGACCATATCAGTAAGTTCATGCATATACATGTAAGTACTCAGGTATATACAGGATTGAGTTATAGCGACTAGAAGTAAACT